GAAGCTAAACACAAAGGCGAATATTCATCTTTCAAGCTGTCTGTATATGCTGACAATTTCGGAAAAGCCCTGGATCCCAACATCTGGCCTGTAGGAGCATGTGTTCGCAAGTTTTTTCATTTTAAAAAAATTAACGAGTAAAGCGGTAGTTAGTGATAGCTATTTTTCAATTTTCCATTTAAATGTACAATCGATTAGGAACAAAGTTGATGAAGTAGAGGTAGTTTTACATAACATTGGAGAATCTTATGATGTTTTATGTTTTACAGAACATTGGTTAACAAACTATGAGTTGGATTTATTAAAATTGGGTAGTTTTAAGATAGCCTCTGCCTATACCAGGAAAGATAATGGTTATGGCGGTGTTGTGATACTAGTAAACGATAAAATTAAATACCAAGTTATTGATGTTTCAAAGTTTTGTAATGTAATTGACATTGAGCTTGCAGCCATTAAAGTTAATAAACCCAAACTAATCATAATAACTGTATACAGAGCACCAAAAGGCAATCTGGAAGTTTTATACTCTAATTTGACTAATTTATTTAATTTTATCAATATAATCGATTCAGATGTTATTATTAATGGAGACTTTAACATACATTTTGACCGCAAAACCAAACAGACTCTAGAGTTCCTTAACTTTTTAAAATCTTATAATTTGAGACCTCTAATCTTTGAGAACACGCGAGCAAATTCGTGTATTGATAATATACTTACAAATATCGCACATGATTGTAGGCACCAGGTCATGGAGACTCATTTATCTGACCATCGTGCTGCTACTGTAGAAATTCCATATAATCGTCATAAGTCAAAAGACTGCTCGAAAGTTGTATCATATCAACCTTTTACGGAAGTAGGATTCTTTAATTTTTTTAATATTATTAGTGATTGCAATTTTGATTTTATCAATGATGCTGGACTTGATACAAATACCAAATTTAACTTATTCACCAAATTAATTTCTGATAAAGTAAACATGGCCTTTCCTATAAAAGTAAAAAGAATAAAAAATGTTAAAAAGGATGATATTTACTGGTATGATGAGAAATTACATAAAATGAAACAAAATGTAGACCTGCTACACGAATTACACAATCAAAATCCTAATGACCCAACTTTTGTGACCTATTTTCAAAAATATAGAGAATTGTTTAGAACCGAAGTTAAGAAAAGAAAAAAAACCTTTAATGACAACCTAATTAAAAATTCTACTAATGTAGCAAAGGACAGCTGGAAATTAATCAATAGCAAACGATTGGCTAGTAGCAATAATTATTCAGAAAAACTGACTGCGGAGGACTTCTCTACATTTTTTGGTGATATCCCACATAATTTGGAGAATAATTTAAAATTATCAAATACGGATCCAATTCAGCTAATGCACAAAAATTTGACTCCGGTGAACTCTGTTTTCAATTTCAGAGAGATAACATTTAATGAAGTAAGAGATACAATTGATTCCATCAAAAAAAAGAAAAGTAAGGACTACTACAACATAAGTATCACCATTGTTAGGAATATTAAGAATCTCATTCTAGTTCCACTCACAAGATTGATCAATCGGTGTATTAATGAAAATCTTTTCCCATCCTGTCTCAAGGTGACCAAAGTAATCCCTATCCACAAAAAGGGCAACGTAGATGATGTTGATAAATATAGACCAATCTCTATAACGCCTATTTTTGGGAAAATTTTAGAAAAGATTATGCTTAAACAACTTGAGGAATACGTTACTAAACAAAACATATTGAACCAACGCCAATTTGGTTTCCAACATGGCAAAAGTACAACCATGGCTATTAATAGGCTTGTTGATGAGGTCATTACCTGTTTCGAAACAAAACAATTCTTAGGATGCACATTTTGTGATCTATCAAAAGCTTTCGATAGTATTAATCACAACATTCTAATAAACAAGCTTGAGTTGTACGGATTGTCAAATGGAGCCTTACAGCTTATTTTTAGTTTTCTCCACAATCGCCAGCAGGTTGTTCTGTTTAATAATGTATACTCCGAAATGACAATAGTTAACATAGGAGTGCCACAAGGCTCGATTTTAGGTCCGTTGCTCTTTTTGTTATACATTAACGACTTGGCTAAACATCTAGACAATAAAATCATACTTTTTGCGGATGACACTACTTGCTATAGTGTGGACTCAGACATCCCGTCTCTCTTGGACAGGATGGAACAAGATATTAATGCTGCTAGTGAATGGTTTACTTCAAACAGATTAACGCTTAATGTACTGAAAACTCAAAAAATGGTGTTTTCCCTTCGTTACATTTCTGAGATTGACAATCCGAGGTGTGTCAAATTTCTTGGTGTGACACTGGACCCGAAATTATGCTGGGATAATCACGTCATTGATATCTGTAAAAAATTGTCCAAGTCAACTTTTCTTATTAGGAATTTGCAATATGAGGTTAGTGAGCAGATCCTTATGATGATATACTACTCTTTATTTCAAAGTATTTTTAGCTATGCCATTATAACCTGGGGCCACAGCAGTCATTTAAAAACCGTTTTTAAATTGCAGCGCCGAGTAGTTCGAATTATTGGAGGTCTATCTTACAGAGCTTGTGTTAAAAATTATTTTAAAGAAAAAAGTATTCTCACCGTGCCCTGTCTTTATATTTTATATGCTTTATTATATGTGAAGTCTAATCTCACCACTTATAATAATCTCACAAATATGTCATTAATCACGAGATCTACCCATAGCATTTACACCGAATTCTATCGTGTAGGTAGAAGTAGAAATGCCATCAATTATTATGGGCCCAAATTATTCAATAAATTACCGAAACGTATTGCTAACTTACCTTTTTCGCAATTTAGCCGTACTATAAGAAATTTTTTATTAAAAAACGCATTTTACTCTCTCGATGAATTTTTAAATTGTAGCGATGTCCTGTGTAGTTTTTACCATTCGATTTGAATTATCTTGTAAATTGTATAATTTTAAACTCTTTATATTGTAATTTCATCTGACTTGACTTATGTACCCTAACGGTCATTAATAAATACTTACTTACTTACTTACTTACTTACTTACTTACTTACTCACTTTTTTTGCATTGTTTTTACGTTTTTTTTTGTCTTTTTTTTTGTCGATTAATATTTTATTTGTCGTTTTCATTTTCCACTTTGTAATCGCAATTTTCGCATTTTTTTGCATGGTCTCTGTGTTGTTGTATTTTTACCTCTCCTTTTTCCGTTTTTTGCTGCTTTATTTTTCTTTTTCCTTTAATAAAATTTTTTAAATCGTTTTCTTCTCATTATTTCGCCTTTTTTTGTCGTTTGTAAAAAGCTTTTTCGTAGATTTTTTTCCCATTTTTGTACTCCCTTTTTTAGCCGTTTTTGTGATATTTTTTGTAGCTTTTTGTTACCTTATTTGGTGATTTTTTTTATTCCCTTTTTGGCTTTCTTTTTGCTCCTTTTTTTGTCGAATTTTTCCTTTTGTTTTTTTTTCGCGTTTTTTATCATCTTTGTTATCGTCATTTTTCCTCTTTTTTGTCGTTTTTTTCCATCTTTTGGTCTCTTCGTTTAGCATTCCTTTTGTTCTTTTTATCGCGATGTCTTCTCCTTTTTTTGTGTAGCCATTTCTTTGTTGCTTTTTTATGTTTTATTTGTTTTTTTATCGTCATTTGTAGACTTCTTTGTTACTTTATTTTTCACTTCGCCTTTTGTTTGTCACTCTTCACATTTTTATCGGCTTTTTTGGATTCCTTTTTTCCTTTGTTCTTTTTCTATTTTTGGGTTGCTTTTCCGTTTTTCATTTTTTACCGCCTTCTTTTTCATCTTTTTTGCAAACTTTTTTTGTCGCCGTTTTTCCGAATTTTGTCTTTTATTTTTATTTTTTGTTGTTTGACGTTGATTTTTTGGCGCGTTCTTGCGTCTTTTGTGTTTTTTGGCCTTTTTTTTCAGTTTTCTGTTTTTTGTCATCTTTTTTGTTGCATTTTCCCCCATTTTTCGTGTTGTTTTTGTTCATTGCCTTTTTTTCGCCATTTTCCCACGTTGTCGCTATTGTTAATAATTTTTGTCATTTTTTGTCATTTTTTTGATCGATTTTTTGTTGTCTATTGTTTGTTGTTTTTGTGTAGAATTTTTGGCGCATTTTTATTTTTTTTGCCTTGTTTTGTGTTTTTTTTTGGTGGCCTTTTATATAGCTTTTTTTTTTGTCTTTCTTTATGTTGTCCTTTTCCCACGTTTTTTGTTAGCGTTTTTATCTCCTTGTGAGTCGTTATTTTTTCTCATTTTTGTGTTTTTATCTTTTTTTTGTGTTTTTTTTGTCTTTTTCCCCTTTCTTTCACCGCCTATTTTTTGTAGCATTATATGGCATCTTTTTTGTTCTGTTTTTTGTCTATTTTCTTGCAGTTTCTTTTACCATTTATACGTATACGTATTACAAGCATATAAAATAAAATTTTATAATTTGCTTCAGAGGCGAGGAAACTTCTGTCTACATAACTTTAGACCAGTTGTGATTACAAATACAGGAGATTAAATGTAGAGCACAAATTATACAGAAACCTCCTTCCAAAAAACCAGCAACATTAACTAAGAGTTTCAGATACATTAGTTAAAATGATTGCGTTTCCTTATTTCCTCGAGAAAATTAATGACGTCAATTCCACTTTCTCCTCTACTTCGCTTTATGTCTATTAAACATTAATAAAAACCCACTGTAAACAGTAACTCGTAACTCCTATCATCAATTATTATCGTCGAATTAATATCGTGTCCCTCGATCCGCCCCTGTCCACCCACGCTCCTCGCGCCTCTCCAGGCCCGGCCCGCCGAAATCCGGGCCGCCGCTCCTCCAATCACCACCTTGCGCCGCTTCTTCGCGCGCTTCGTCCGCGAGGTCGGACCCATTGACCCCGCGCCGCCTCCGATTTACAAACTAAAACAAACAAACGGCGGATTGGTGGCGGCACGACCTTGACCGCATTAAAGCACGGCCAACAAATATAAAGATATGAGTCTGTTTGTGAGCAGTTTATCGTCGCCTATTGCACAAAACGTCGGAGGAGGCGAGTCGCATCGGCTCGAGCACGTGTACGAGTTCGGTAGCAGTCGTGAAAAGTGAGTGATAGTCGGACGAGGCAGAAAAAGGGCAGAGAAAAGGGCTAGAGTGAGTATAGGAGTTCTGGAGTGCAGGGCCTGGGGGCTTGGAGACTTTGACCTCCCGAGTTCGTTGATATTTGCGAGCTAAAATTGTGAAGTTGTAAACAATGCAGGACCGGAGCCAAGCGCCAGATTTATGCGGGGCTGATGCAAGAGCGGCGCTAAATTGATCGGGGGGTTTTGGGGCGAAATTGTGAAACGGAGGTGATTGATAGCGCCGGTCAAAGTCAAATGTGTTACTATAGACAAAGCTAGTTTGTGGTGTTCTAAAATTAGCCTGTTTTGTTAAGTAGATAGCGTTTATCGGCGATTTTTCTTTTTGAGAGATAGGCTGGGACGGGGAAAAATGACCGAATGCCGTTACGGCCCTGCACGCACTTGACTGGAAACTAGATTCATGGACATAATATAACTCGTTTATTTTCATAAGCTGACGTTTCATTAATTCGGAGCCCAGGTCTACAGAAACACGGTAGTTTTCCATAAATTCAGTCATTTTCAATATAAGTGAAATAATATTTACAAATGTCAACTTATCAAAATAATCCAGCTGCGTTATATTCGGTCTATTTTTTTAGCCGTCCTTCGGCTGTTATGATTTCAACCATGATCCTGTTTGTAAATCGCTACATTGATTTTTACATATTGAGGCCAATGTATTCTGTTTAATGAATCAAATGTCAGTTCCTTAGTTGGTGGATCCCCGTTTTCAATATGCGGCAGGTTTTCCTACAATTTGCTTCCTGTTCGCGCCAAAAAAAAACCGATCGCGAAATATTAAACCGAATTTAAAAACTTGTTAATAACCTGCGACCGCCAAGGCTGAAATAACATATTGAAACGAAAATAATTATACCTCAAAGTACAAAAAACCGTAATTACAAAGTACAAAGAAAAACGCTATTTATAATAACAACATCGGACAAGATAAACAAGAAAACGGCAAAAAATGTTTTTTCGTCTTAGTGGAGAAAAACAGCGGATCTCGAAAATCTCAGAAATAAAAGCTTCTCGAATATTTGATATAACATGTATTAAATATAAACATGTTTACCACTTAGGAAGCTCGTAATAAAGTAGAACGCTAAAAATTAACTGGAATTAGGTCACGGATGAAGCTTCACATCCCCCATTATGTTTGAAAGCTGCTTAATTTAAAATTCTCTAGCGAAAACAAAATGTGGGCATTTTTTATTCTGTGTGAATTTTGCGTGAAGCAAAGCTGCAATATGTGAAAAAGGTGCTGTAAAAAATTAATCACGAAAAACGCTACATTATGTAATAACTGGAAAAAAATATATAGGGGACGTCGCGACGCGTTAAAAATGTATGAGTGGAAAACAAAAATCTGCCTTCGTCAAATATTGATAATAAGACTGGAATTGTAAAAATATCGTCATTTCGCAAAAATATGTCCGGATCACGACTTATTTTTTAATACGATTGTATTTATTTATTTATTTTATTTTCTTTTTCATTGCAAGTTCTTAGATTTTCCAGTGTTTATCTCTTCTTGTTTTTTTTTTTTTTTTTTTGAGGAGCTTCCGAAATGTGTTTAACCTTTCGTTATTACCATTATTATATAAAGTTTTATTGTCCGCTTGATTAAACATTACGTTTTGCTTTTTTTGTCTTCGCCGTCGTCTCTTTTTCATTTCTTGTTATTTTATTCAGTTTTGCTTCCCTTTTGGTCGTCTATTTTGTCGCTTTTTGTGATTTTTTTACTTATTTTTAACAGTTGCTTTGTCGCAGTTTTTGGTGGCTTTTTTGTTGCCTTTTTTGTTGTCGTTATTTTTCGCTTTTCTGTCGTTTTTCATTTTCGTCGTCTATTTTTTTTATGAGGCCTGCTTTCGGCGCTTTTGTGGACCTCTATTTTTTGCTTTTTTATCGTTTTTACCCTTTTTTTTATCACGTTTTCCCATTTTTTTTGCGGCTTTTTTTTCGTCGCCGTATTTTTTTGCCTTTTTTGGTGTGCTTTTACCATTTGGATTTTCCATTTTTTTTAATCTTTTTTTTGTGTTATTTTCTTCGCTTTTTTTCGCATTTTTTGTCACCGTCTTTCGTCGCCTTTTTTCCGCCCTGTTTTGACGAGTTTTTGATCCTCTTTTTTCAGTCGAATATTTTTCTGTGCTTGTTTGTCTCCTTGTTTGTCTATTGCTTCGTTTTTTTTTTGTTTCGTCGTTTTTCTGTCTTTCTGTTGCCTTATAATTCGTTTTTTGGCTTTTTTCGGCCGTTTTGTTGACTTTTTTCTATCTCTTTTTTATCTTTTCCACCTTTTTTTGTAACGCTTTTTTTGTCGCTTTCTTTTCACTTCTTGTAGTTTTTTGCTTTATTTAGTCGCTTGTTTTTTTCCTTTTTTTTTTATTTTTTTTTTTGTTTGCTTGTTTCGCCTTTTTTCTTCTTTTTCACTTTTTTTGCCTTTTTTGTTGTTAAGTGTTGCCACCTTTTTTCGTGGCCCTTTTTTGTCGTATTCTTTAGTCGTTTCTTTACCAACTTTTTGGTCGTTTTTTTGTTTCGCTTTTTTTGTCACCTTCTGTCATCGCCCTTTTTTTCTCCCTTTTTTGACAACTATTTCGACCTTCCATTGTTTTCTTCGTCGTTGGTTTTTGACACTTTTCTTAATTTTCTCTTTTTAGTTTTTTTTTGTGTCGCACTTTTCCGTCTTTTTTTGTCGCTTTCTTTTCACTTTTTTATTGTAGTTTTTTTTTGTTTTTTTAATTGCCTTTCTTCAACTTTTTTTTTGTCAACGTTTTGACTTTTTGTATTTTTTTAGTTTTTTCCCCTCCCTTTCGTCATTATTTTTTGCTATTTTGTAGTCGCCTATGATTTTCACCTTTTTCTATTTTTTTGTGTTTTGCTTTTTCTGTGTTTTTGTTGTTTGTTTCGCCCATTTTTCTTCTTTTTCACTTTTTTGCCTTTTTTTTTGTCACTTTTTTTTCGTTCTTTTTTTTTATCGCTTCTTTGTCTTTTCACTTGCTATTTTTGGCATATATTTTGTTGATTTTTGTGACGTCCCCTTTTCAGTTTTTTCGTGTCGCATTCTTCCGTCTTTTTTGTCACCTTCTTTTCACTTTTTCGTTGTAGTTTTTCTTGCCATTTATATTTACCTTTTTTACACTTTTTTTGTAGACTATTTCTATTTTTTTTATCGTTTTTTTTTTGCTTTTTGGGTTTCTTATTTTTATCGCTTTTGTCGCTTTTTTAGTAGCCTTTTTTTGTCCCTTTTGTCATATTTTTTTTTTTGGCGTTTTTCTATTTTTTTTGTGTTTTGCTTTTTTGTGTTTGTCACCTTTTTCGCCTTTTTTTTTCTTCCTTTACACTTTTTTGCCTTTTTTGCTGAGTTTTTTAACGCCGTTTTCCATAACCTTTATTTGTCGTATTCTTTTGTCGCTTCTTTATGGACTTTTTGTCGCCTCTTTTGCCTTTTTTTTTTTTCGTTTTTTTTACCCTTTTCAGTCTCCTTTTTTTCACTTTCTTTTTTTGTTCCCTTTTTTTGTTGACTTTTTCAGTCTCTTTTTTGGTGTTCCCTGTCTTTTGTGGTCTTTCATTTTTTTAACTTTTTTGTCGCCTTTTCGTCTTTTATGTCTCCCTTTTCAATTTTTTTTGTACCTTCTTTTGAGTCGCATATTTTTCGTGGTCTTTGTTTATCGTATTTTTTGGAGGCTTTTTTTTTATTTTTTTGTCGCCTTTTTTTTGTCATTTTCTTGTCGCTCTTTTATTATCGCTCCTTTGTGTTTTTATTTCCTTTATTTTTTGGCATATATTTTGTTGATTTTTGTGTTCTGTTTTTAACACTTTTCTTAACGTCCTCTTTTTAGTTTTTTTGTGTCGCATTTTTCCGTCTTTTTTGCGACGTTTTTTGTCAATTTCTTCTTACGTTTTTATTGTTTTTTTGCCATTTCTAGAAGCCTTTTTTACATATTTTTTGTCGACTTTTCTAATTTTTTAGCGATTTTTCCCTTTTGTGTTTTTTATTTTTATCCTTTTTGTCGTTTTTTTTGTAGCCTTTTTGTCCCATTTTTCTCATTTTTTTTTGCTTTTTTAACGGCCCGTTTTTCCTCGTTTTTCTATTTTTTTATGTTTTGCTTTTTTGTGTGTTTGTCACTTTTTTTGTTGTTTTTTTTCTACTTTTTTTCACTTGTTTTGCCTTTTTTTGTTTGTTTTTTGACGCCGTTTTTCATAATCTTTTTTGTCGTATTCTTTTGTTGCTTCTTTATGGACTTTTTTTGTCGCCTCCTTTGGTTTTTTTTTGTTTTTTTAGGGCGCCTTTTTTATCTTTTTGTGACCCTTTTTAGTCTCCTTCTTTGGATTTTTTTGTCACGTTTTTTTGTAATTTTTTTGTCGCTCTTTTATTATCGCTCCTTTGTTTTTTTATTTCCTTTATTTTTTGGCATATATTTTGTTGATTTTTGTGTTCTGTTTTTGACACTTTTCTTAACGTTCTCTTTTTAGTTTTTTTTTGTCGCGCTTTTCCGTCTTTTTTTGTCGCTTTCTTTTCACTTTTTTGTTGTAGGTTTTTTTGTCAACGTTTTGACTTTTTGTTTTTTTTTAGCTTTTTTCCTTCCCTTTCGTCATTATTTTTTGCTTTTTTTAGTCGCCTATTTTTTTTGTGTTTTGCTTTTTGTGTGTTTTTGTCGTTTGTTTCGCCTTTTTCTTCTTTTTCACTTTTTTGCCTTTTTTTTGTTGAGTTTGTTGACGGCTTTTTTCGTAACCTTTTTTTGTCGTATCAGCTTTTTGGTCGCTTTTTTTCGTTTTTTTGTTTCGCTTTTTTTGTCACCTTCTTTCATCGACCTTTTTTCCTACCTTTTTTGACAACTATTTCCATCTTTTTTTGGAGAATTTTTGATACCCTTTTTTCAGTCGCATATTTTTCGTGAGCTTCTTTATCGCCTTTATTGTCTCTTTTTATGTGTCTTTTTTCTGTATTTTTTTGTACCCTTTTCTGTTGTCTTTTTTTCCTTTTTTTCTCGCCTTTTTTTTGTTGACTTTTTCTGTCTTTTTCTAGCG